AAATTAATTCTTTAATTGACACCCTATAGCAAGCTAACTAATAATATATATAAACACAAATTTATTTTCTTCTATTCTAAAAGCTGCCAAAAAAGGAAAAGGTCCTTTTTCGCCAATTATATAAACATCAATTTTATTTAATACAGGAGAATTCTCCTTTTGATAGTACATTACGACAAACACGAAAAGATATGATAAATTGTAGGGGTGAAAGAAAATAAAAGAGTCTTTCTAGATCGATAACTAAGTAGTGGCATCTTTTTTGGTGCAATGCAATTGGATCTCTCCTTTGGAATCTCTATCTAGAAAGAAATAATCGTAGATTCGTTGATAAATCCAAATCTTACATTAATCTTTGGGAGGAAATCAAAGATTATGGCTTCATCGGTCTTATAAATCCCTCTATTTTTTTGTAATTATGATATTGTAACTATTTCTTTAAATTGTCGATATGAACTTAGCTAAGCTGAAATTGACACTTGTATCCGATCAAGAAGTCATGAATTTAATTTCTCCACCCCACTTGTTGTACTAAAAGACACTATTTCTTTAAATTTGAGTGTCTTTCTTTAAGGCCTCCCTTTTTGTATGTTTCTCATGTACCCATCAATAAAATGGTACCTCTTTTCCAAAAGAAACATATTTGGTCTCTAACTAACGTTTGTCACATTTTTCATTTTCTCCCTTTTTGAAATTTTAGCTTCATCTTTTATATACTGATTCTTTGCTTAAATGTAAAATTCAAGTAATTATACCGTCTTTAAAAAAATATGATGTGCAAAAGAAAAGAGAGTACTTTTCGTGAGCCTGTATATTGTTATTATGTTAGCATCTTTGTTGGGTCTCTTTTTTAATTCTAATAAATAAGTCATTTTGAGTTGCATAAGTTAATGCGAGGTAGGTTTTTGATTGGATAGATGGAGATATATGTCCATTTGTCAAATTAAAAATAGGATAATTTTATTTATTTATTTTTTTAGTATAATTTATGAGGCATGAGATCGAACTCACAACCTCTCTCTTAGTTGAAAATATATGTCGACTACATATTCTATAAAAATAGGATAATTTTAACTTATTGAATAAAATGTATTTTGACTTAAATACTAAAAATTTTAAAGTTTTGTGACGGTAAGGGACTTCCTGAATTAAAATTTTTTTAAAAGATTAAAATGAAGAAAAATGACAACTAAATTACATATCTAGAGAATTTTCTCCCTCACGCCTGTGGAAAGAGAAATAAACTAGACTAATTTACTTGAAGGTTTTAGGTTTGAATTCTTCGACCATGTCAAAGATGATAACTAAATCCCTTCATTGAGTGTTCGTGAACTATTTGTATTGGGATCAATCACAATAAATTTAGGTGGCCACACTGGCCCGATTGTACTCACTGGAATGAAATGGAACTCTCTAAAATATAGTCTTATGCAAAGCCAGTTTAAGGTCTAAACAAGTCTATTGCCTAAAGGGTTTAAGGTCTAATTCTAAGAACCCTCATATTTTAATATGATATATGTTGATGGAGAAATTTGGCCTTCTAGGATTCCGTCAAATTCGCATCAATCTTTTAGAATAAAGGGATCGACGAGACCTGCAAAACAGAATAGCATTAAAGACCGGTGTGGCTCTTGCCGCACAGACTCTGATGCTTAAGTCGGAATCGGAGTAGTCGAATATAAAGTATAGGGTGTTGTGAGCATACCTTTAGGGTTTGACTTACTCCAGTATTTATAGGAGTTGAATCCTAATCCTTTTAGGAACTGTGGAATTCGTACTAATATTAAATCTGGTTATCTGAATCTGGGGAGAATCTTGAGGCAATCAAGATATTTTCTTCTTTTGAATATAGGATATCTTCTCCTGAATCATAAGACCATCAATATATCTTTTCTTTTGAATTCCTTAAATTAAGGGAATCTGAATTGTAGAAAATTAGGATTTTCTCATCCATAACAATAACCTCCACTCTCAAAGTTGGAGATTGTCCGACTTCTACTTTGAGAGTATTTTGTCATTGTTGGTTTTCATCAAGTCTCTTAATACTGAGAGCACTTGTCGTTTTCCATTGTCGTTTTTTATGGGCTGACTGTCATAGCCCCATTTTCTTTTGTTGTAGTTGGCTGCAACCAAGTCCCTTAGTGTTGAGAGTATTTGTCGTTATCAGTTGTCGTTTTTATGAGTTGACCTATTATAGCCCTCATTTCCTTTTGTCGTAGTTGGCTGTAATCAAGTCTCTTGGTTTACTCTTGGATTTCCAACCTACTTGGCTTTTGCTAATGGTTTTATACCCTGAGTCCAGTCGATACCCTTTTGTCGGTCGTCCTTTTATGGGCTGGCTGTCATAGCCCCCATTCTGTTTTGCTGTAGTTGGTACGGTTAGTTTTAACCGTTAGATTTTGGCCTTGGGATATAACTTTCAACAGGGCTAGTGGTACTTCGTCCTTTGAGTTTCTAACATCTTTGGCTTTTGCAAATGACTTTTATACCCTGAGTTTAGTCGGCACCCTTAGGTTTCTAACA